AAGCCCCTAGACCGCAGAACGTTTCGGAACTGAGGTCATACCTCGGTCTCATAACGTATTACAGCAAGTTCCTGCCGAACATGTCGACCCTGTTAGCTCCGCTTTATGCACTGCTAGTGAAAGGCCAAAAGTGGCAGTGGTCTAGCGCCGCCGACAAGGCTTTCGAAGGTAGCAAAGCAGCTTTGAAAAACGCAAATTTTCTTGCTCACTTTGACCCCAGCAAGCCTCTAAGAGTGGAGTGTGACGCCTCGCCTTATGGCATTGGGGCGGTATTGTCCATTAAGGTTGGAAGCGAGTGTCGACCGATCGGGTTTCGTTCACGTACGCTATCCGTAGCCGAGCGTAATTACACTCATCTCGAAAGGGAGGCTTTAGCTCTGGTTTTTGGAGTAACGAAGTTCCGGCAGTACTTGCTGGGCCGCCATTTCACGTTGGTCACCGATCACAAGCCGTTGATTGGCCTTTTTCGTCCGGATCGGCCAATCCCATCGATGGCCGCCGCTCGCATACAGCGTTGGTCGTTGTTACTGCGGGCTTATTCATTCGATCTGGTGTACCGAAAAGGAACTGAGAACCTGAATGCAGATGCTCTCAGCCGGCTGCCGTGCTCAAGGGAAGGTGAATCATCAACCGAGGAGCTGTCGGAGTATGTTCTTCTGATGGAGCAGCTCGATGAAAACTTCGTTTCAACGGCAGACCTGCAGCGGCTGACGGCTGAAGACAATGACTTAAGGCAGGTCCAAAAGTGGGTTCAAAGTGGGTCCTGGCCTCAGAAGAGTCATAACGGGAAAATGACCCTAAAGCCATTCCTGGAAAGGCGGAGCGAACTAACCACCTCGCACGGCTTGGTATATTGGGGATCTCGAGTCGTAATACCGCAAAGGGCTCGGAAGACTGTACTTGCTCTCTTACATGAAAGCCACCGCGCCGCATCGGCCATGAAGGCGTTAGCTCGGTCCATTATATGGTACCCCGGAATTGACCAAGATCTGGAGCGTATGGTCAGTCAGTGCACGAAATGTGCCCAAGTTTCTCCAGCCCACCGGCCAGAGATCCTGTGCCATGGCCGGAGACGAACGAGAAATGGTCAAGAGTGCACGTGGACTTCGCCGGCCCAATAGACGGGTTCATGTTGTTAGTTCTCGTTGACTCTCATAGCAAGTGGATTGAAGCAGTTCCACTCAAATGCACGTCAGGGGAAGCAACCACGTCCGCGTTACGCTCTATCTTCAGCCGATTCGGAATACCACGGACTGTGGTTTCCGATAATGGGCCCCAGTTCGTAAGCGCCGAGTTCCAACGATTTTGCGAGCGGAACAATATCCGACACATTTTCTCGCCTCCCTATTTCCCCCAATCAAACGGACTCGCGGAGCGAGCCGTCCGCACTGTAAAAGAAGGGCTCCAACGGCTGAGCAGGGGCAGTATGGTGACACGACTAGCGCGATTTCTGCATGAGTATCGTCGTACACCCGGCAAAGACGGTTGTTCCCCATCTCAGCGTTTACTCGGCTACGATATACGTTCACGTCTGGACGCCGCCTTGCCTCCATTACCCACTCCTTGCAGTCAATCGGAAGCTAGTCCCTTTCGCCCAGGTCAGCCAGTGTGGTTCCGAAACTACGGTCCTGGCGACAAGTGGAGCCCCGGAATCGTAAAGGCAACAACTGGTTCCCGCCTGGTACAAGTTCAGTCCCCAGGCGATGGCAAGGACCACCGGCGCCACGCCGACCAGCTTCGCCGTCGTGATCCAGGTGACGCAGCTACTGAGCCTCCCGCGCCAGCACCCGCTTCCGAGACTGTCCCACCTGAGGCGGCTTCCGCGCCAGACCCCGCTCTCGAGACCGTCCCACCTGAGGCGGTACCAACATCCGTGTCTCCAACTCCGCGACGATCAACGCGAAGTCGTCGCTCGCCATCACGTCTCTTCTACAAGGGGAAAGGAGTGTTGGGGAGCGAATGACGCTGCACGCGCTGCGGTTCACGCGGCTGACCGAAGTTGTTTTTGTTTTCTTCTTTTACTCTAAACCGCCGATCTATCAAGATCGGCCACGCCGAAAAATAAGAGCTCTGATAATTGCAATATTCAATTTACAAATTTTTATAATTTTCATCTGGCGACCAGGCAACACTGCTCAACTTAGTCACACCATGGTGTCCATAAACCATGTGACCATGAACACTCTCTCATTCTAGGCACCCCCATGATCGCCCAAGCTCTTCTCGTCGTGGTAAGACGCTCAAACAGCTCGGTAAACTGAAAGCTATTCTCGCTCTCGCCTCCCGGCCGGTTGACCTTCCACCCAGCATGCGCCTACGAGACATTCCCGGACGACGGTGACCACGGCGAACTCGTCGTCGCTGGAACTCGTCGCCAGCGGGTCGCAGTCAAAATGAACAGCTTCCAACATCTCTTGATAGCAATCACTCCCATCGCTCCTTCGATCAATGGTGAACACTTCGACAAGGCGATCGATGCCGTAGACGTAAGCGTCACAGACCGCATGCTAAAAACATGGAAGGTAAACGAGGAAGCTGAGGCTCGATACGCCAAGAGAGCCAAGTCTGTGAGTGCGTGCAAGTAGACACCATGCTGGAGGCTGGCTACGTCATCAGCCTCCAGGTCCGCCCGGATCTGAGGGGCCCGCATATAAATCGATTTATCCACGAAGTTATCGCGCATTTTTCAAAACAAATTTAGCAGGATTATAGGAACATACAATGGGTCCTTGCAGTATAGTTATGTAATATTTTATTTTTGGCGTGTCATAACCCCTTTAAGCAAGGTTAAGCAATGACTGCCTTGTGCCACCACACATGAAGGTGTCCACGGAACAAAGCCGCATTGGTCCTGCCATAACCCACACCTTGTCGAGGTAGAAAACTTTCGGGCCCTTTATTTCCTGTGTTGTACAATACCCCAAGAGGTACCTCTGTTAAAACGGGACTTTTTTGACCCCCTCGGTCAGAAGCGAGGCCCCTTGCGGCCATTCAGCGCCGTCTACTCATTCATAGATGTTGCTCCTTTCGACAAAATTTCTGTGGCGACAGCTGGAGCTAGTGAAAAAGCGGACACCATAGCTCTTCCCAAAGCACCCTGTTCTTCCTCAAGAGCGGCTAGTTCATCCAGGAACAGTGCAATGGTGCTTGGTGGTCTATGATCGCAGACCACCGGTCATAGCCGCACCAACGGCGGCGGCGGCGGCGGCGCCCCCCCCCCCCCCCCCCCCAACTGACGTCACTCAGGTGACAAGCATTTCACTCGCATGACGTGACTCCAAGCCATACTCACTATGGCTGGCGACAACGCATAAAAGGCATGCGCTGGCCCTTTGACCCATGCGGAGTGCAGTGCAGGAAGTGGAACGGCATCGGTGACCCAGTCGCTGCAGATACCCAGAACTGTTTTACTGCTGTCTCGGCGAAGGTGCAGGCCCGCTGTTTGATGCACGTAGGTAGAAGCCATCAGCCGCAAGCATCGGACACCTGGGGTGGAAAATTTCCCACCCAACAAAACAATAACCATGAGAAGAGTGGTCTAGCCGGTGAATTGCAAAAACATAAAAAGCAGGCACATAAAGAAGTATTTCTGTTACCTTGTCTTGCAAAAACACAAAAAGCAGGCACATATAGAAGTATTTCTGCTACCTCGTCTCATGCTCAAGCATTATTTTGGCTAGTATACATCAATAATGCCTGTCTCGCAGTGGCTTTCTGAACAAAATGTAGTAGAAAATACAACCAGTTGAATACCAAAGGAGAAGTAGAACAGAGAGGCACTTATTTGTTGTCACTTTAACATGCACACTATGGAAGAGCACAACTCTTCGCCATTAACCTGTAGCAGAATCGCTTAGCAGTTCTGCTGCAGGTGTGAATGTACCACGAGGCAGAATACAGTATTTGTGCAGAAAACACCATCGCAGGCCTACCAGGACGAACAGCAACATATTTACCCGCCACAAATTCAACGCGCCGTGAGGGCCATTCGCGAAGCCTGATCTGTTTGTAAATCCCGTCTTTCGACAGAACGCTTTTGTGACTGCACGAGCTCGTCAAAAGCTGACATTCCCAACATGCAAATGCGGCGCAGGCGGCACTTGGGAGCCACATGCCGGTCCGTTGATTATCTCTATTATCTTCTTCTTTGTCCCCGACGCTACGTGAGGTAGCCAAGCGCTATCAAATTCCACCACAGCGGTGTTGAATCGACGATCGAACGCCACCAGTAGGTAAATTCCACTCACCTTTTACTTTCCGAACAAGCGTCCCACGGGCCTCCATGTGGCGAGACGGGGCCTGTTGCTGGCTTGCATGAATGCGCTGAATGCGCTGTGGACTTCACTGCCGACGCTCGTTCCCAAGCATTGAATATCACGACCAACTCCACTCGGCAATACCGCGGCACATAACACGACAATGTATAATACAAGAAAGACCGCTGGAACCACTGATATGGAACCAACGCGACCGCTCCGAAAAGCGCCCAACAAACACTTGGAGGAACGAAAAGTAAAAACAAAAAGTAAAATTGGAAGAAGCAAAAACAAACGAAACAAAAATTTTCGTCACTTCCTGTTTGTGCTGTTTTGCTTGTTTTTGCTTTTTTCTCTCAGCCAATAGGCGTTGCAACCTTACTGCGGCGAAACGCTCGTCATACGAGAACCACCCTACAAAAATAAAAAAACGCCATGTTGGATTCTTTACGGCTTGGCTTAGAAACGGCTTCAAAGTAGGCTACTACGTCCCAAACGTGTATATAGAAGTCGTTTTGAAAAGTAAGCCAGATATTTTATTAATAGCATGGTTAGCTCTTAATATAATTTTACAATTTACCGAATATAAAATAATAAGTTAACTCGTTCAAGTAATGAGAGCCCCCCACCACGGACGAGGAATTCGGCGCTACTGTACAAAACTCGACTCCATTGGCCCTATGGAATCCGTCCGGGGGTTGTCCAGCGGCTCTGGAATCCAGTTATTTCTCTACCCACGGCGGTACACGCAGTACACGGCAGCTGCGGGGGAGCAGGGTCAGCACGGCATGTTATTAAGTTCGTTCAATTATCTGGAGATTCAACACGCTGTCATCTCCCAAACGTAATATGACTGGCCTTCAACAAGGTGAGCCTCAGTAGCTCGTCCTGCGCATTTGCCGGTTGGGGAGAGCTAAACGTGTCGTACTTCTTCGTGCTGTCTGTCGTTCGTGCGCGTGATATGAGAGGTTTTTGAGCGAGAGCGTTATCGGAACTTTATTAAGGACCACTTTAGAGAGTCGCGCGTGCAGCAGGTTCTGGTATGGAAGTACGTGAACACGTGCTGAACCGAATGCGGCCCCTACCTCAGCCAAGGAAACTAGATCGTGCTGGCTTTGTTGTGCTGCAGTGGTCTAAAGTGGGCTCCCCCAGTTGTTTTTGTTCCTATTGTGGCTTATCTTTTTGCCTCCAAATTCGTCCTATTCTTCGTTTCACCAGACGCAGTCCACGCTACGAACTGATGAGACCAATCGGACACCGTCAAAAGGACACCATCATGGTGTTTGTCGTGTTTCTGCACGTGTTCTGTCATCGCTGAACTACCAATAAGCAGAAAAAACACCCAGGGACTTGCACTTTTGAAGCTGCTCGATTGGTCCCATTACCTTGTAGCCTAGGCTGCGTCTGCACTTACGCTAAAACAAAAAATTTGTTGTTTTTTTAGTGAATATTTTGACGTTTACCTTTAAAATAATTTTAAATATATTTTCACGTCCGTGAAGTCACTTCATGAAGACATGAAAATATTTCGACGTTCCCCGTCAAAATATTTTTGTAAATATTTTGACGTCTCCAACTTCAAACTTTGGAGCTTGGGAAGCCGGACTGGGGAGCGATCGAAGGTGGCGGTCAAGGAGATATCCTCTTGCTTGCAGCAAATACTTTACTAAGGGCAATACAGGACTCTGCACTCATTTGCATTAGACGGAGCGAGGGCCGCGCTGATCCCTCCCCTGGTGGCGTGGGATAATTTGGATCTGTCCCTTTTCCTATTTTCTCTCCTGTTCTCTCCTATTTTCTCCTCCCGCCAGAACACGTGACTGATGTGAGCCACCGACATTTCCAAACGCGGGAGGGCGATCAGTGGGAATTCTGCACACTATCACGCAAGGCTTTCTGTTTTTTTGTTTTTTCTTTCGGTGTGTATATATTGCATGTACACTAATGATTCTAAGGCCCGCTTCAGAAGGGGCAATTTCGCCCAGCAACTTGACGTCGCAACTTCAGCAACACGGGCCGCCCGCGTTCACACGCAGCAACCGAATTGCTACGACTTGCCATCATCATCATGAAATTTGATTTTTCTTACACTAGTTAGACGCACAGCTACGCGCTAAAAACATGTTTTTATATCTTTGAATGGTGTTGAAAATTTTAACTCATCTTTCTGAAAAGGTTTATTTCCAAAAACGGTCCATTTCAAACGAGAACTAAGTTTATAGCTGTCATCATCACCACCACAGGGGTGTCACGTGAAAATATTGCGTCCCTGATTGGCTGCAGCAGTTGCAAACGTCTTCGAATTGCTCCAAGTTGCTCGCTCATTCGAGCCGGACCCAATCTCAGCAATTCGTGTCGATCTAGGGAACAACCCACCAGCAACCTCAAAATTGCTGGAAAAGTTGCCCCGTCTGAAGCGGGCCTAAGGCAGCTTAGACGGCCCGTGAAAATCGGTTTCTCAACGTATCGCGTTGTAATGTACTATGGAGGTGCAACCACACGGTGGAAGCGTAAACCAAAATATCAACTGATCAGCTTACCTTGTTTAAAAGGGAAAAACCCGTTTCGGGCCAGCTGCTGCAGCATCCGCAGATGACGTCATGACCGGGCTCGCCTAGTTAAATCTGCCACCAACAGATGTCGGGAGCGCCGGCTCCAAGCTTAACAGACGCGCCTAATTTTTCATTCGTTCAAATTAACAAATCCAACAGGAATTTTGAATGATAGGCCTCAAACTACAAGCTACCAATGAAGCGCAGAAGAGGTCACATGATTCTTGCTACTACCTCACGACAAGGCCAGGTGGCGCCACTCCATCTTTTCGGGGCTAACAGCTGCAACAATTGGGCTACGTACAGTGTGCATTTCAGATTCGTAAATGTTGAGCACTGATCTACCAAGCTTGGACTCTACATTCAGTACTTCCGAGTGCACTGAATCATCTCCCCTGCTGGAGTAAGACCTGGTGCAGTGATGCGGATTCAGCATTCTCCAAAGTATGTCACTCCATTGTGGACTATATTGGCCATATCTGCGAATACCTACAGGCATCTCTTTAGATAGGGTGGTTCGGGAGCGAACTGCCAGCCATGGGGCACGTCAAGAGTTGCAATAAGACACATTACTTAGCAAAGTAAGTACCTAAGATTTGCTAATGAACTTTCTAAGTAGTGGAAAGAAACACATGGTTCTAACTAGAAATTCGCTGAGCGTCGTTAAAAACTAAATCGATCAATTTTAGGAAGGCAGCAGGTGCTAAGCGTTTGAATGCACTAAAGTTTTCACTCGTGCAGCAGACCACTAAGCTAACATTGCCAAAATGTGGATGATAACAAAATAATCTGTTTTCGCATTGCCAGCCTTTTGCCTGCAGCATGAGTGAAAGCTTAGTGCACTCTCATGCTTCACACATGCTTTAAGGTTTTTGATCGACTAATTTAGGGGTTTTTGATGATGCTCAGCAAGCTTCCAATTGGAACCATTTGTTTATTTTCACAAATTCGAAAGCTTATTAGCACATTTTAGGCAATTATCTCAATAATTCGTTTATCTCAATAATTCGACATCCACCGTGGCTGGCAGTTTGATCTTGAAAATACTTTTTTTCTCAACCACCCTGTTTAAAAAATGTTTTAAAGTGTGCACAGAAACGGTCAATATATGAATGTCCGTTATGGATGAGCATTTCGCAACACTTGAAATGTTTCGTGCAAAGAGGAATATGGCAGTTTTCCTGAATGGGTGTATCCGAGGGTCCCGCTGTTCAATCGAGTTTATCCACAAAACTGAAGCACTATTTTTGAAACAAATTTAGCAAAAATATGCAGAAAACTGATGGATTCCGGTGCCATAGTTATCTCAGATTTTATCTTTTGAGAGTCTTAACCTCTTTTCTGATTGGACTTTTATTGTACTGGCAATGTGGCAGAAAAAAAAAGAAGAAAACCGATTGTGTTAGCATACCTCCTAAGTTAATGTTGGGCGACGCAAGCTACCGCCTATGTGGAGCGCAAGTTTGTCTGCTTCTTGCAAAGGGGTTGCACTGCTGTAAGAATGCCAAGTTCTCATTGACTGATGGAGGTATAAGAGGCAGACCTCAATGCTAGCTGCTTTGAGGTCTAACCACCATCTTTCCAATTAGAGCCAATCGGAGCTCGGTGTTCTGACGTCACCCCTGCTCAAGGAGCAGACGAACTTGCTGTCCGCATTGCTAGGCTCACAAGCATTCCATTTCCCCATCCATTCATCATTGTTATCTCGAAATAGCAAAGTTCTGGGTGTGTCTCGTTTGTGTTGTCTTCATAGTTGTCTGGCTAGCTTCATGTGCTTGGAGGGCATGCTCACTTTCTTCTTAATTAATAAAATTGCTCTTTGCGTTTGGTCCTAGTCATCTCAAATGGTCCCATGCATCTTTCATTCGTGACCTGACAAGCCTACTTCCAAATCTGACCACATTCAGCGTTTGGAATGGAACCGACCCAGTCCTCAAGTTGTAAGTTTTTCATTTCAACCTCTTTCATTAAAAAAAAAAAAATGGGATGTGTGTATGTTTATACAGCCTAAAACTTAGTCTGCCTCAACAGGCGACTTGTCTCCCAGCTGTAGATGAGCAATTTAGCCAGTGCAGTACAACTGCTAGCCTGGGGTCTTTAACGTGCATCACACAGTAGTGATACACGACCGCACGCCGGTACGATGCTCATCCAGATTGAAACGGGCAAAGGTGGGGGATTGAACCCAGGATCCCTGCGTTCAGCAGCGCGAGCTTTCGCTCCACGTGCTCCGAGCTGGTGTGCGCTAGCGCACTCGGCCACCGATCCCCCCCTCTTTCATTAACGGAGGACAATGGCAGTGTCTAGAGTATAAGCGGTTATAGTTTAGAGCAATGCTTCTTGTTCAGCTCTCTGCGGACTCCTAGGGGTTTGTGCGGGTTCGTTGATCCTCCACCAGGGACGCGTCCTCACTCGAGCCCTGATGAAGATGTGCATGGTAATGTGGGTTGGGCTTCAAGGGAAGGAAGACTTGGAGCACAATTGAATTTTCGGGGAAGTTCATGGCAGTGGGGAACGAGTATTGGGCAATCTAAATTTTTGGGTTCCTATACATGTGAAGGTGAAGATAAGCTAGAGGAAGAGGCTTTCTGCCAGGCTCTGGGCTAATGTTGGCAACAAAGGAACAGTATAGAAGGTTAGTCATGGCATCCTCACTTTTTTTTTCCTTCATAAATAGTGTTAAAAAGTTTGATTGAAAATTTGCATTTTACACGAGCATTAGAGAAAACGTTCACTTCTCCTCCAGATGTTGTTTGTTACTTGCACAATATATTCCTGGCCATACTGTTGAAAACATTCAGGAAGGTGGAGAGCAGGAAGATCTGGAGGCCAAGTAAATGTTTCCTCTCATTTTCATACAAACTGCCAGTTTTCAATAAAGTGTTTGAGGCGTCATAGAGGTTGTTGAACGCGCTTGGGGATTTGTAGGGTTTATGTCGTTCCCGCATATATGGACCAGGCTAGTCGAACAGGCAGTCCTAAAGATGTGCCTACAATACCTTCTGCAGATTGTCATTTGTTAAAGAAACGAGTGCTCTTTTCTCCCAAGGGATCAGGAAGGCATGTCGATTCCATGTAATAAAATTTTAGGAGGTACCGCAGTTAGCACTCGACGGTGAGACTTTTAAAGTACTTGCCACTCACTGCGTGTCCTCAAAAACAAGGAAATACAATAGCCAACCGGAAATAACATAGTCCCAGCTTGGAATTTTCGCCATTATTTGTTTTTGTTTACCTCCGCACACCCTGTATATGGTATTTGGGCCACTTCCAACCGTTGTGACAGGAAGCCGAAAACACTTCCGATTCGGGTATTGTTAGTGTGCTTTTAAAGAGCGACATCACTGCTGTGTCTTGCCTGTTCTAAAATTAAATTAGTCTTTTGTCATGTTTTCCACGTCCACTGGCTCCTTTAATTTTTTGCAATGTTTTGTAATTGACTTGGCAACTTTGCTGTGGCAGATCTTCTCAAAATAAGAAGTGCAATCAGTTGCGACTCCACGGCCGTCAAGCACAAACAGTAGCTGTCATGCTCACGTCGATTTAAAACTGAGCACTAGAATCGCTTAATTTTGAAATGAAAGATGTACATACTTGACTCTTCCAGACAGCAAAGAGACTTATGGAGCAAGTCACACTTAAGTTCATAAACAAATAAAGAAATTATTGATATAATAATATTATTCGCCCAAATATAATTTTATAATTTAGCCTGAACCTAGGTTTTTATAACACGGACCACTGACAGTGACCGACTTGTTACTTTTTATTTACTTTATTCATGGTACCTCAAAAGCCCAATTAAGGGCATTACATGAGGGAGGGTTCATTCAGGGTAAACATAAATCAGAATGCAAAGAGAAAAAGAAATGCAAGTACAGAAAATAAAAATAATAATAAAAAAAAAAATTGAAAAAAAAAAATTTGGAATATAACAGGAAAAGTAAAGCAAATGCAAAGTGAAAAGATGTAGATTAAAGGTACCATGAAATGACCTTTTTACTTTTGCCAGATAACTTTTACATTAATCCGTCAATGTTCACTGAATGCCGAACAGGCATCCGTTTTCGTCTCGGTTTATTAACTTCTACACAAAACATTTATGAAATATCGACTTTTTCTTTCTCTTCAACGGACCACAAAGCAGGCTGCGGCGTAATTTTGACGGTCGTGACGTACCCCGTTTCCGGAACCGGAAGTTCTCTCGGCAGTAGAAGAATGGCAGTTTGCGGCGGCGAGTTGGCGGTGTGCCGGTAGGTTTTACTGCGCTATTGGCGCAGATGTCACCGATGTATTTTCTGAATCGGCGCCTCTCATCGCCGCGATAGCCATGGACACATCGCAGCTGAGCTAGATTCAATTAGATATGTTGCGCTACAGCGACAGCATGGGACTAGTCCCATACGCCGGCATCCCTGTTGGGAAGTGCGGCAAGTCTTCCGGTGAAGACTCCAGAAGTCAACCCAACTGTGATTGTTGGTAAAAGGCGGCCCGTGTCAGTCGTTTGCAAAGCGACGTAGATGGAAACAAATTGCCGCAGCGTTTTTTGCGGCCTCGGAGATGCAGGAGCGAGCCGACGTTAAAAAAGACACGTTTGAACTACGACAGTGTCAGCAAGAGCCACGTAAATACCTGTTCACACCCGGAGCGGACGCGTGCGTTTGGTGGAAAAGCGCTGTTGGTAAGCGCTTCGGGACCGATCTTTTACAATTGCAACTCTATACTGACGCGACACTCGGCAAAGGAAGGTTGGACCGGCATTGCACGTAGCTCCCACGAACTGTTATAGCTCGACAGTGACGTGCAGCCTGTCAATAAAAATGGCATACTAATAACAAAGTGTGCATACCGTGTGATAAAGGTAATCCATACGGCGTTTATTTGAGCTCTATTATCACACAAAACAAGAAGATAGAATCGACGAGAGTCCCTTTTCGACGACAGTGTTCGTTAACACTGCCTCGGAAACCAAGGGGAAGCGATTGACCTCACCCCTTAATCTAAAATTGAGGTCAGTGATCAAAATACGGGAAGGGTCCACAAGGGTTGCGCGGGCATATTCCATTCAGCACGCCAGCCGGTCGTGGGCAGGCGGTCTTGGCCAAGTACCGTCGAAGCAACGCTGCGCCAGAGTCGGAGTGCCTGCTTCGAAGTGCCTGCTAGGCCTATCTGCCGAGTTTGCTTATTCATGGGTCGGTGAATTCGTGGCCGTTCTGGCTTTTCTCGGGTGTTTGTGGCTCCAGCGTTCTTGTTCGTCGTGGTCTGTTTCAAGTACTTTTTTTCTTGCTGCTCTAAGTCTGGACGTGCGAGAAAAGCACGTCGCGGCCAAGTAACTGAGCCCAACGCTGTTGGCCCGTCAGCCCTACCTAGCTTTGTTTACCTCACGATAGATGGCGCTTGGCTCTCAGCATTATCGAATTTGGCAATTTTCGTCATTATGCTACAAAATGTGGATTTGAATATTATATAACAAAACTTTTAGGAAACATTCGCCGGCTATCTATTGTTTACGATCGCGGTGCTGGCTCTTACCCAATAGGTGACGTGGATTCGGCTGACGTGCTGCGTTTCCGCGGATGCATCGCAGTGAAAAGGCAGAGCTTTCGAAGGAAAGAAGTCGCAAAAGAGTCCACTTTTCTTTTAAAAGTTCTATAGCGAATAATATTTTTTTGTCTCCCTATTTTTGTGCATTTGTGTTTCTTTTCACACCTTTTACGACGTACGATGGAGGAAATTCGATTTTAAAATCATTTAATGGTCCCTTTAAAGGAAACTCATTTGGAAATGGAGTTGTTATGCTAGCATGCGCGACAAGAACCCAAGAAGTCATGATTCAAAATAAATTATTAAAAATCAAATATAAGGAAAATAACAATATGCACTTTGACGGAAAAATGGCAGTGGAGTATAAAAAGCGTCAGAACAACAAAATAGCAAAATTGGATGCAGTGGGCAATCATGGTGGAAAGAAGTGATTGGGAAGGGCATTACGAAACATTTTCTGATCAGATATGCTGACAATGGCTTCGGTAAGACCGTTCCAGTTTTTGATTGTGTTAGGAAGTGCTGAGCAATTAAATAAGGCTGTGGAACCAAAGATGTGTTTGGAGCTTTTGCTGTTATTGTGACGATGAGATATTCTATTCCGCGGTTCAAAAAGTAAAAAACCTGATTGACTGGGATTAAAATGGAACCGATGAAGTAGACAAAGTAGTGAGATTAGACGGCGAGTTTCGACGGCGTGAATGGAGTTACGCCGTTTAATGAGAGAGACACTAAAAAAATCGAGAATAAGACAATGATGTGAACCGAGCGACACGGTTTTGGACAGATTCTAGTTTATTAATTAGGTGCTTCTGATGCAGGTTAAAAAAAGGCGAAGCATACTCCAGTTTAGGGTGAACATAAGTATTATAAGCTAGGCGGCATAAATGGGCAGATGTGTGCACACTAAGGTACTTGTAAGAAGGAACAGGGGGGAGGGGAACATCATTTAAGGAAAATGTAAAAGACGAGACTGAACGCCTTCTCGTGAAAGAAAGGAGGTTACATTTAGAGAAGTCGCATTTGCCATGTGGTGCACCACTCAAAAACCCTATTAATATCGTTCTGGAGAATGTCGGGGCCATTTGAATTGTTAATGTTTGTGTACAGCACACAGTCGTCAGCAAAAAGTCGTATGGTAGATGACAGAGTAGTTGGAAGATTGTTAATATAGATAAGAAAAAGAAGGTGGCCAAAAACTGTTCCCTGTGGGACTCCAGAGGTCACTTCAGTAGTGGAAGATAGAAAGTCCCCAGTTACGGTAAATTGTTGTCTAAAAGTTAAGAAGTTGCGGATCCAGGAAAGTGTTAACGAATCTAAACAAAGCGGAGAGTTTGGATATTAGGCGACAGTGGGGAACGTCATCTAATGCTTTTGAGAAATCTAAAAAAAACGGCGTCGGTTTTAGGGACAGAGTCCACATTAGTGTGAAGGTCATGCATGGGTGAATTCAAGTAGCTGTGCCTCACATGAGTACCCTTTGTGAGATCCATACTGATATTTATAGAAAAAGTTACTTTCAAGATGACACACGGAATGGGAGAACTGTTTTTTTATTTTTTAGAAGAGAGGGCAAGCCGCAACTGAAGTACTTTTGCTTTGCTAGGGGAATGGAAGAATTGTATTCCTTTTCCCATTCTGCATATTTTACCCAGGCACGGCAGCATTAGAATTTTGGGCGAGGTGAAAAAGTCTTTTTTTTTTTTATTGTTTAATGTTTTTAGCATTTTGTTAAACCATGGTTGATCACTGTTGAAGTGAATCTGGACTAGTGGAACAAAAGTGTCAATAAGTTTGAATACTTTAGACTTAAAGAGGTGCCAATTTTCTTTGACCGTTCTAGTATGACGTCCATCAACGTAAAATCAATAAAATAGGGGAAGAGCACTGTTTATTGAATCAAAGTTGGCCTTGTTAAAATAAAGTTGCAGATTATCTTTGTCGTAACTTGTTTTTTTTCTTTTCTGTTTGAATGGCGATGGTTTGAATGGATGTAATGAGCTCTGGGATAGACGTAAGGACTAAATCCAAAATGTTATCCCCTCGTGTGGGATTACGTATTTGTACAAAGTCAGTGTTCTGACAGACATCCAAGAAGTGTTCAATCTTGCGAAGCAAGTATGGACCAATCTATTAGCGAAAAGTCACCAAATAAAAATATGTTCTCTTTAGGGAAATCTTTGCGTATGGAATAAAGTTGATCATGAAAAGTGTTAATGAACTTCGAAGTACTGTCAGGAGGGTGATAACAAACCCCCAGGATGTTTCTTTTTTCCAGAATGAGGAATAAAGACCAACCCAAGTTGTTTCTATATTGCCATCAGCTAAAGTGACTTATGACAATTTTTTTTTTTGACACAATTTGTAACATTTTTTTTATCTATTCTTTCAAGTAGGTACAAGTTAGTGAGAACTGTTAGTCAGCATTTCTTTATTTTGAATTTCTGGTTTGGGTTATGTCTCCGTATGGATCAGATCAGAATCATTATCGCAAAGGAACGATGATAATATATCGCATTTTGGAATGACACCTCATAGAATTGTGAATGATATTAAAAGTGAAAGGGTGTTAGTGACAATGCAAGAACTGGCCGATTTATTGCATGGCAGTTTTGCTGGATTGTTTACCTTTTGCTATCTTAGCAATGGCTAAACAGAGTTCAAATGACAGTTGACGACATAGGTAGTGTTATCAATCTTCAGTTTGTCGAAGCTTAGTTTAAAAGCGTACTCGATTAGTTTGCTTCTTGCATTACGGACAGGGATAGAAAAGTCCTTCTACAGAGAAGAGCTTGCCTTTCAAATTGGGACCGGAAGAAAGGATGCTCTCTTTGTCCTTAAACCTAGAGAACGTAACAATGATGGGGTGTTTTTCTCGGTGGTGTGCCACCCAATGCAATGGGCTCTTTCGATGTTATCGGGGTTAGTGCTGATACCGAAATTGCGACTACAGAGCTAAGAACCTTTCTTTCTGATAAAGCCTAGTTTCATTTGGTCCGTCTATGATTCCATAAAAGAGCAAGTTAAAACAGTGTGATCGGTTTTTGGCATCATTACATTTAGAAGCCACATTATTCAGTTTTGACGATAAAGTGACAAAATTTTCGCTGGAAGTGGGGACAATGTGCAAGGTTTCGTGTTTTGTAAGTTCAGCCTCCAGCGCGGTCACTTTTACAGATAGTTTATCTGCTTGTCTGCATTCCTTTGTTGCTCTTTCATGGTTTTCATATCTGAAAGAATTCCCCTTTGCCCTTCCTCTATTCTATTGCCAATAGTAAGTATTTGCGCTTGTACGTCATCAGAACCATCAGGCCAGGGGTCAGGGTTGGATTCAACGTCGCCTGCTACCAGCAGTCGTGAACATGACAAGCAAAAGACGAAGAATGATTCAAACAGCAAACAAGCACGCTTACAAAAAGCTAGAGTGTCGAAGAGGGATGACACTATCACTACAGAGGAACGGCTACAAAAGCGGGTGCTCATATAATTAACCTGGCACAGTAGAAGTGGTGAGCATCCCGTCTTGCCGGTGTCATGCCCCAAGAAGAAATCGTTGATGGCCTCCTTATATAGGGTCCTGCCGATTGTAGGCGATCCAGGTTGCCAGGGCATTGTTATTCATTGGTCCAGAACTGGCTGC